TTTTTTATGTTTTATTTTGCTTTAGTTTATTGTTGGTTTTAGGATTTTCTTTTTTTTTTTCATCCTTAACACATACAATCATTTTTCGACTGTCTTTTTTTTTTTTGGCTTTCGACTTCTCCTCTTAAACTCCAAAAAAACCTTTTTTTTTTCAAGAGCCCGTTTTTTGTCCTCTTTAAACCTATCTTCCCTAAGTTTCAATACTCCTTATCTCTTTTCTATTTTTCTATTGTACCTGCACCTCTTTTTCTTTTTTTGGCCAACCACTAACCCCTTCCTTGTCTTTCTTTGTTGTAGGTGGCAGCAACCTAGCCTTTTTTCCACTGGATGTTCCCCCTGTATGTGTTTGCCCATGCACTCACATGAAGGACATAAGATGGTCCCTTCTCTTCTTATTGTTTCCTTTCTTTTTTCTCTATTTTTTCATTATTTTACTTTCATTCTTTCTTTTTTTTTTTTGTTTAGGTATAAATTTTAGCCATTGGATCAAGATTCCATAGGAGATATGATGGTCCACATTATTTGCTGAAAATGTTGGATTTTATAAATCATGGAAAGACCATTTTATTTATAGTGCAAAGTTTTAGGTATATGGACTATTTTCTTAGAAATCAATATTCTCATACTCATTTTCAGGATTTTAAAACATCAAAAATTATGAAATATTATAAAATTGAGATTTGAAAAGTTTTATGAAAATTCGAGCTCGAAAAAGTTAAATTACGAAAATACCCCTATAAAGGTATTTTAGTAATTTCACACTTTCTAGGGTACTGCTGTGATTTCAAATGCACCAAAAATCATTAAATATTTTGAAATTAAGATCTGAAAAGTTTGTGAAAATCCAAGCTCGAAAGACCAAATTACGAAAATACTCCTATAAAGGTATTTTGGTAATTTTACATTTTTCGGGGTAATGCTGTAATTTTAAATGCACCAAAAATCATTAAATATTATAAAATTGAGATCTAAAAAGTTTCACAAAAATTCAAACTTAGAAAGGTCAAATTACGAAAATACTCCTAAAGTATATTTTAATAATTTTGTACTTCCCCAAGTGCATTAAAAAATTTTAGTGTTTTAAAAATCTTCAAATATAATTTTAAAACACATTAATTTCAATTAGGTTGTAAATTTTGAGAATTAACCAGGGGTTTATTTATTTTGACCAAATTTTGTGCAATTTTAACTTTGTTGATCGGATTTAATCCGAGTTGATTTTAGGTCCCTAAATGAGCTAATTTGTGGGCTTTTTATGGGTTATAAATAGTCCTTTTAAATGATTTTGCCCCATGTTTGCAAATGAACCTTGGATCAATCATATTAAAAATATTTCAGATAAAATTCGATGTCTATAGTGGGATAACATCACCATCATCTGATATATCTAGGAATGATCTCAAGGTTTTATCCTTTCCCATTTATATTTTCATATGGACTATGTCCCTTGTTTCATTATTTAATTTAGTTTAGTTGTTTGTGCACATTCAAGGTTAAATACATAATTTACATAAGGCCAAGGTGTATGCAGTCAAGAAAAAAGGAAAAGTAAAAGATACATACATACTTCGAAAATTTCTACATATTTTCTGCAACTCCCTGTCAAGGAAATGTATGCATGTTTTGAATTAATATTAGTGATAAGCTTTCATTTGACGTAATGTTTGAGTAGAACATACTGCTACATTGGCATGGTTTATATATTTTATTGTCCATCACTAGCACAGTAATGCACAATCCTTGGGTCTATGTATAAACATTGTTCCAAGGGAGAAGAAATGTATTGATAATGGAAACCGTGAGCTGATAAGGATGGAATACTCTAATACATACCTACATATATATATATATATATATATTATATCCAAAAGATGATTGGTTTCGATTGGATATCAGTTTTAAAAATCTTAAATCTCTTATCTACTATTATATTGCATTGCAGGAACAGAACAACGAAAATTACACATTTCAACTTTACGACCGGTTAAGCTTCTCATACCCGTCACTCCTGCAGCCTCTTATACATGAGCGAGACACTGTAAGTATTCATAGTTTGTACAACCAAAACAATTGGAAATTAACTAGAAAATGTCCTCAGATTATATGCCTTAGATCAGCGATTATTAGGTTACTTTAATTTTGTCACCTAAATTTGCTATGATTGATGATCCTCTTACATGGTAACATGCTGCTGCATTTTTTAGTATATTATGTGGTCTTTAAAACGGAGCAAAAATGTGAATAAGTGCAAGACAGTGGTAGGGGTGATCGGAAAGGGGCACATGAGTGGTGTTATATATGCAGGGAAGAATCCATCCGAAGCTGTCTAATGGCTGGGTTGAAGGCCTTTGGAAAAGCTTGGTTAGAGACACCTTGATTGGTATCCTGTTGTGGGCATTATATGAACAGATTAAAGCTGGATTATAGTATTCATACAAACTTATTATTATCTGATCAGATTTTAAAGTTCTAGTTTTTTCCTTTTGCATATCATGTGATTCAAGAATTCATTAGTAATAATATAAAAATTAAAGTTCATTTTTTTTCTTCAATTAGACAACTACTCACTCATTTTTGTTTATCAATTATAATCTTTTTATTATTTGCACTTATTATGGTAACAAAAATAAAAAGTAAGTGAGAAAAAGATAAAATTGATAGTCAAACACATCTTAATTCGTTTAGATAAACAGCTACCTGGATTTTTATTAGCAGACAAACCAAAACAGTGGAAGGGTCAGGCAATGGATTTTTTTTTTTTAACGGAAGTTATAAAGATTTAAAATTTGACCATTAAAATTAAAAATTTAATATTTTATTTATAAATTATTTATTACTCGAATTAAAATAATTTAAATTTTAATTATTAAAGTTAAAATTTTAATATTTTATTAATAAATTACCCGATTAATGATACTGAAGCAATAGATTTATAAAGTATATATTAATTAGTTAATTTCAGTCATTACACATTAATTACTGAGAACAGAGATTACAATTAGAAGCGTTGAGCTCCTCCCTGGGTTAAAAAGTTAATTTTGTCAAAGTAAAGAGATGGAAATCATTTGTTCTAATCGGCCTGGGAAATGGTTTTACAAACAAACAGTGGGCAGAGAACATAGTTTTTATTATGCCTTTTCTCAATTAATTAGTGTTGTTCTGATTTTGTGTGTAATTTGGCATTTTTCTAAATTCATGGGAAAAACAATCTTTGCCTTCCATTTTAAAGAAGGTAACAAATTTTCTTTATTGTTGAATAAGCATTAGAAAAATCCACATTTGTTACAATTTCTTTTTTTTTTTTACTTTATGGAAGGATGAGGTCCAGAAAAAAGCCCTCCTTACTGGCCCAACAAATGGAGTCACACTGTTGCCACGTGCTAGCATTTTGTGGGGGTCGTGTGGTTTTTGTATAAGCTTCTGATCACCTCTTTCGACGCCAAATTTTCCCTCTTGATTCTTGATGATGAATATTAAAAAAAAAAAGTTAATTTTTTTTTCGCTACATTTATAATGGCTTTTAATTTATTCAAAATCATAAACGCCAAGGAAACATCAAAAGGTATTTCTTGTACATTGGAAGACTAGTAAACACATTAGAGTTTAAAGTTCCAAAATAGAAAGACAAAAAAAAAGGAAAAAAGAAAAAGGACAGTAAATAAATTAACAATAAATTTTAAAAAATGACAGTAAAAAAAGATAAATTTGTTGTAAAAAAATGAGATTACAATGTCATTTTATAACAGAAGAACAAGTGAATGACAAAAATAAATTAACAAGATTTTGAAACCTATATTAGTGGAATTTGAAAAATGTTGAGTGCCGTGAATCCTGTACGGAACTACTTCTTTGACTTTAATTAGTAAGCATTTGTGCTTTTTTGTTTACCAATTTTTTGTTTCTTTCCGTCCAAACAATAATCAGTATACAGTTATTTGGGCCATTTAAACGTTTAGTTCTATTTATTTGTTTCTTTTTTACTCTTAATTATAGATTCGCGATATCAAAATAAATAAACACATCAATTATATTATACTAGTACGAAGTTATTTTCATCCTTGTTGGATTGTTTTGACCGGGCGACATTGTTAATTAATTTCTTCAACTAGTGCCTTTGATTAAGAACCCTAGCTACCTGGTTATTATAGTCACTCCTTTGGAATTGACTAAAATTATTACTAACAAATAGTGATTGGGTAGTAATTTTCTTGTTGAGCTCATATTTAGTTATTAAAAAAGATTGAGGCTCTAACTTCTTCAACCTTTTAATTTACTTAATTATATATATGCACTCTCTTATGTTTCGAAATGTTGGATTTTACAAGGGATTCAACAATCTTTGCTTCACACATGAAAGCTTAAACGTCGACGAGCATATAAACAATAGAATTTATTCTGATAGACTTGATTTTTAAATTCCTTTTAAATTTACATAAAGTAAATAGATTCTTAAACAAATTCAAAATATGGTTGACACTGTGAAGAGGATCATAAAAATAACTCCAAAAGTGGAAAGATTGTTGAATTTAGGAAGTGACAGACGAAAAAAAGATTGAAAAATCTTCATTAAAAAAAAATTCCTAATAAGAACCTCTTTTTTTGGTAAATTGCATTTAATTTAGATTCTGTTCTGGATTTTTTACATTTATTATTGTAAAAATTCAAGGGGCGAATTCAACCATGTTGTCCTCGCATTTTCAGCTACATGTTTACTCTTAATTTTGATGAGGTAAAAAAAAAAAAAAAAACTAGAAGTTGAAATCAATAAATAAAGAAGGGTTTTTTATTTTTTATTTTTTTATCGGATGTAAGTACCACAGTTTCTGTCCATAAAAACCAATTGGCTGCCATTTGTAGCACCTAATTTGCATCCACGAATTGCTTACTTTATTGGGTAGTCACAGTATAAATATTGTCATTGTTGCTTCAAAATCAATTGAGTTTACCTAAGCAAATTGGTTTCTGAGAGATCAAATACAAAAGAGTTTTCAAACTCTACAATGAACTCATCTCTTTTGAAAATCTCAATCTTGGTAGTGGATGATGATTCCACTTCTCTCGCAATCATCTCTTCCATGTTAAAACAGTGGCGTTATGAAGGTATGATTATTCTGGGAGATCTATCTTGTATTAGGCTTTCTTTTGTTAACTCTGCTGTTTTTGGCTCTCATATTAATAAATACTATGATTTTATAAAGGTTTTGCATGCATGCTAATTATTTTTTAAGGCTGTATCTTTTTATTTCTATCTGGTACTGTTGGGTTTCACAACATTTTCTTTTTCTATTTTCCTTTATAATTTAGGATATCGGTGATTCCATCACGTTCTTATTAATGGATTTTATCTTTTTTTGTTTTGTTTTTGTAACAATGACTTTTTTTTTTTCACTTTTCTAACTTCATAGAAAGATGCATAAAATGGGTTATCCTTCAATATTTTCCTTTCTCATTTCCTGAAATTGGATGTCATCATTTTGATTATATAAGTGCTAAATATAAATCATGAGCGGTAGCTTTGAAAGCCTATTTTTTCAATTCTTCCATTTTCTATCATTTTTACAAGTAGTGAGATTATACAAGAACGTCATACATATTAGGGTCTTCAAACTTATTATATATGAATAAGCTAAAACTTTTATCATTCTTATATGTGTGTGTCTATATATATATATATATATATATATATATATTCTTAATATATATATTTTTTGCATAATCCTTTCCCTAAATCCTTTTGTGTCTCATTGATTTATCAATGTGATGACAATGGATATATATATATATATATATATATTCTTTTTTTTTTATGGATGATATTTTCTTCTTTTGTTTTCTAACAAGTTTCCCAATCCCATTTCCTTAGCTTGAGGTTTCTTTTTCAATTTATCTCACATCTGTTATCTTTCTTTTAATATATGTTCAATTCAAATGGATCATTTTTATTAATCATGGTTGGTAAAAAAAAAAAAAAAAAAGAAAAACGAAATGTATTGAGAAGGAAAAAATTGTTCCTTTCAGAAGAAAAAAAAATTGGAAAAGGTTTTGTCATTCGTTAATAAGACAGAATTCCATGGGATGTGATTAAAAATAAAAAGGTTGGATGAGATTTGACTCCACTTTGATCTATTTATTTATCATCAACCATAATCGAATAAATCTGCGAAAATAGTTTGTTTTTTCAAAGCAAGAAGTAAATATTTGGGTCATGCATGTGTTTCCTTTTACCTTCTCTTTTTTGGACCAAAATACAACCATTTTGTTCTTGTACTATTTTCCCTCTCTCTAATCTCTTTTCTTTAATTAGATCACTAAGTCACAGAATTCTTTATTTTTTTATAATTTTTTCACATATTTTGCCCTAGAATAACTTAGTATTTAGACTCATCTTTCTCAAAGAGGAAAGATTTCAAATTTGAATCTCTATTTCTTTTGAAAGGAAAACAAATTAAAGGAATTAAACTTGTTACAATTTCTCATGTCTACCCTTTGTGATCAAGGAATTACATCATACTTGCTGATGACGTGCTTCATTTTATTTAAAATATCCTAATGAAAGAAACTGAAATTGTGAACCCATAATTTTTTTTTTCTATATTTATGCATAAATATATCAGTTGCAACTGTTAAAACTCCGGTAGATGCTTTGTCCACTCTTCGAGCACACCCAAGCATTGACCTAGTCGTCACTGATCTCCATATGCCTGAAATGAATGGGATTGAGCTTCAAAGGCAGATCAACCAAGAATTTAAAGTGCCCGTCATCAGTAAGTATAGCATTTTCTCTGTATACGCAAAATAATTTAAGTAGTTAACTTTAAGTTGTATTTATCATACCCAATTAGTTCTTTGGGAGGGAGTTTTAACTTCAATATTCTCATAATAATTTATTAAAGAATAGTTAACACATAGAAGAGATTTATTTTTAAATAAAAGATTTAATTCATATATAGGCCAACAATTGAAGAAATATATATATATTTAACTCCATCTCATTATATATGTTGTGCGTGCAGTAATGTCCTCAGATGACAAAGAAAGCGTCATGTTAAAAAGTTTAGCAGGAGGAGCTGTATTTTTTATAGTTAAACCCGTAAACCCTGATGATCTGAAAAATGTATGGCAATATACAATTGCAGCTAAGAAAGGTAAATCCGTTTTTATTGAGGAAATTGGAAGCATTGAAGGGGAATCGTCCTCAGCTGGAAAATTATCTAAAGGTCAAATAATAATATCTGAGTCCTCGGTGAATGACGAAAAGAATAATACTAAAAGGAGATCCAAAAGAAAGGCATCAAGGAAGGACAAGGATGATCAACAAGAAGAAGAAGAAATTGCATCTTCCCCCAGAAAGGGCAAGGTGGTTTGGACAAATTCACTTCACAACCAGTTTTTGGAAGCCTTAAGATATATTGGCCTGGAAAGTATGGGGATATCTTGCTAATATATATCTATATCTGTATCTATATATATATATACACACACACACACACACACTTATATATTCTATTTTGTTTTTATCCTCCTTACTCTATTTTTGTATAATTATGATTTAAAATTCCTAGCTACCTTCAATTGCTGGTAACTGATGATAATTTTGGTGGTATTTTTTTTCACTGTGTTTAACACAAGCAGAAGCTGTCCCCAAGAAGATTCTTGAGCATATGAACGTGCAAGGCTTAACTAGAGAAAATGTGGCTAGTCATTTACAGGTTTGCTTTTGGCTAATTATCTGGTTACTACCCCTTGATTATCATATTTCTCAAGAACTATGCTTTTACTAAATAGAAAATGAAACATTTATATCATAGGAAAAGCTAAAGAGAGACTGTTACAATTATCAATTATCAATTTAGAAAAAAACATTACTAGTACTTTGATGTTTGTGTTATAATAGCAATTTATATATATATATATACAAGTTTAGACAACTTACATAATAGTAGATATAATGAGGAAATCACCTACCGTACACATATGTTCAAGATATATAGATATTAATTAAAATCTTCGTTTCTAAAACTAGGAAAAATTTTGCATCAACCCAGAAGAATATAAAAGATCGATGTCTAGTCCACTCTTTTTTAAAAAATTGCACCATGTATAAACTTTTCAAATTGCATTTGGTAAAGTAAATTACCACTATATAATGAATCAATATTGGATTTAGTTAATTAATCATGTACTACAAATACTGATGAATGTTTCTAATCATACCAAGTTCAGAGATATTGGTGAAATTATTCTATGACTATTTTTTTTTTTTTGCCCAGTCAAGGACCAGTTATAATGAAGGCGATTAAAACTTAAAAAAAGAAAAATGAAGGGAAAAAAGAGATATTGTACTGATGAATGTGGGAGATGTTAAATCTGAAGCACATTTGGTCAAAGGTACAGAAAAAATATGTTGTCCTCTCTCAGCAGTCAATATGCTCTTAAAAGTAAAAGATTTTTGGATTTATGATCATTTCCTTACATTCTAAATACTTCTTGCACTTTTATTAAAAAAAAAAAAACAAAACTTCTTACACTTTTACATTAACATGCATTAAATAAAGCTGAATTACATCCATGATTAATGCAATGCAAGAAAACTATGCTAAAGAAAGATATTCACGTACATATTGACGATTAGAGGCTTCATTGACCAAAAGAAGGTAAAACGAGTAACTTATACAAGATTAGGACTGGGTGTTTCTGTTTGTTTAGACCAAAAGAAGGATGGTTTGTAATCCTTAATGCATCCATTCGCTCATGTAAATTTTGCAGAAGTATCGAATCTTCTTAAAGCGTGTAGCAGAAAGGAGTTGTTTTTCATCAAAGGCCTTCGTTGAGAGTGTCCTTAAGTCAAGCATTGCATCTGGCCATCCATTGTTGTTAAAAACTGCCCAAGAATATTCGCGATTGCAAGAACTGAAACAAATGAGGGGGTTAACATCCCAAGCAGGATATGGGAGGAGTCCTTCAGCTCATAATGCTGCTAGCCTTGGATCCATACTCTTTCCTAATCAAAATGCTTCAAGCAGCAACTCTGCTCAGCCACAGGGATATGGACAATACTGTTTATTGGGCAATCAAGCTAACAAGCGACAGGTCTCTGGCAAGACGAATCCTCTCTATCAGGGTAATAGCCTGGGATATGCAAATGGATCGAATTTGTCACTAAATGGTGGCTTGTATGGTGGCCTAATCAATGTTCCAAATGGCTCGATGAACGGTGCAAACTCAATGCACACGTACCAACAGCAAATTCAAGCAAGGCCATATTTTTACACTGCTGATTCCTCATCCCAGTTCAGATTTGGCTCACCCGGCCTTCATTCTTCGAGTTCTACTCTGGGCACTGGAAACATAGGAAGTATTAGCACTTCCTACCCTACTCTGAATTCTAGTTGCACCAATAATAATACCTATGCCGGGATTAGATTGACTACTGATGGACAGCTCACTGGAATGGGTCAAACCCGTCTTAATGGTGGCTATGGCTCAATGAATGGAACTTACAATCAGAATATGAACTTTGAAGCCATGGGCAATCAAACTTTTCGTTTTAATTCTCAAGGAGAGTTTTCATCCACAGTAGTAGATGGCGCAAAGCAAGTTTCACCAACCTACACTGCAGCAAACCAACAAGCAAACACTTCGGTGTTGCCAGGTCTTGGCAATCTAGGAGTATCTGATTATAATTCTGATCATCCGATGAATAATGATTCCAATCTTGACAACATAAGTCTTTCTCAACAACCTGGTGACAGTTACCCCTGTGACGTCCTCTCTGAGTCGAACAACTATCAATTCCTTAATGAGGTACTACACTTGTATTCCTGCAATGTTATTAATTTTGTATATTTTGGCTAAGCAAATTGGTTATATTCTTTTCATTCTGTTTGGTACTTGAAAAATCTTCTTGTCAAACAATTGGTTTTGAACTTTTGATTGGTATAGCAACAAGTTGGTGGGGATAGCGTCCAGCAGAAACCTGAATTTGCTAGCAGCTCATTGTTTCCGGAAATCTACCCCACTCTGGACGAAATTGTGGGTTCTGAATTCTTGTCTCTAGAAGAAACCGCTCCTTGGTGTGAGCAAGCTCTTGGACAGGCAAGTCCACTATTTTCCAGATTCCCAAATAAGGATCCCTCATCCCTCTCCATCTTTTCCTCCATTACGCTACCCCCCTCCTTTTCTCACATTCGTTGATCTGCCCAGGTGCAAAGTGGTAATAAAGAGTTCATGAACACCAGCGTTGGTGGCGGTGAATATACTTCGGATGAATCTTATCCAACTAATGTTAATCAAAACACTAATCAGGCAAGTTCAATTTCCACTCTATATCGATCTGCTATAAATGTAATTTCTCACATCGTTTAATAACCAACTCATTTGATTGTGAATGAGTTAATTGGATGAAAACAACAGAAAATTTTTTCCTTGCTATTGTTTTATAAGTTATATATAACACGCTTAGCCACATTCTCATACCCATCTATTTTAATTTGTTTAGCAGCAAAGCGGAGAAGAACATTTGGCTGACTCTGAGCTCAGCTCCGTTTTCCGAGTGGACAATGCTCCTACTTCTGGAGATGACTCATCAGATAATCAGGCACGTCATCATTTGTCAAGCTTTCATTTGTTGAAATAGTACAAAAGAATTATGGCTGATTACATTTAAATCAAACCTAGCTCAATTTTCATTTTATCTTTTTACATAATTGAAGTTATCATGTTCGAATTGAACTCTAATTACTAAAATTGAAAATTTAACCTTATACCAATAAATCATACTACTGTTAATAAGCTTTTATTTTGGCTCTTATATTGCAGAACTGGGGAGATGATTTCGTAGATTCCATGTTCGGCTTCGGCCCTCATTTTGAATGACAGCATCGCTGCTAGCATCCGAATATCCAATGATGAAGAAGCTCCAATAAGTTAGTTAATTGGGGTTTAAATTACATAAATAGTAGCTATGCATGACATCTATATATAGTTTCCTTTGGTTAATAAGAAACTTGTGCATGGGTTTGTAGTTGTTTTATTTTGATTTGGTAATAGTACCCTATATTAATTTTAAAGAGGGTTCATACTGTCAGCAACAAAAGGTTCCTATTTGTACTTGTTATCTTGGCTTGTTCTCTTTTATATATTTCTCAAATATCTCTATTTATCTATATATATATATATATAAGTGCATAAGTTAGTTTTATATAGTAGTTTTATTGGATTTTTTTAAAATTAGATATTTCATTATTCAGATTTCAAGTTTATCGGCTTCAACAAGCATACAAATATTCAAAGGAAAGTCCTCTACCCAATAACTATCCTACCTACTTTCCGGAGCCATTCTTGCAGGCTCATGGGAAAGTTTGTTTGCTTCACGCCCAACATATTGACAACCACCTATTGAATGTATTTAACCCTAGTTGTATTTCCTCGATGATGCTTCCCAACGGACCTAGGTTTTGTTCATTCTGCTTAACTTGATTTATAACATTCAGGGCGTCACCTTCCAGGATAATATTTTGATAACCCATCTCAGCTGCAATTTCCACTGCTGCATTGGCAGCCAAGGCTTCATTCATAGTAGCTTCTTTGCACCCTCTAATCTGCCTGCACCACATCCCCATTGCTTCCCCCAGGCAATTTCGAGCCCTCCAATACGCCCCCGTTCATTAAGAGCCCCATCAAAGTTCAGCTTTATGTTGTTTTCCTCTGGTACTCTCTATACTATCTGATTCCTTTGTACCCCATTCCTTTGCTTCTCTTGTGCCCGTTGGAACCCCTCTATACAGTTGAGAGCAAATTTTATTGTTTGCTGGCGGGACCGCTGGTTACTATTAATTACAGCTTCATTACGGTTAAACCGTATAGCCCATGAGGTGATCAAAGTTTTTTCCAACTCATCAGTATCCGCCCTTGATGCAATAGATTCTAGCTAGTCCATCATGTTCCTCCAAGAAGGATCAGCCATATGTGTATTAAATTGAGCATCCCTCCATATTTCAGATGCACGCACGCACTCCACAATTGCATGAAGAACTGTCTCATCGGCTAGACCGCACCTCAGATAGGTTTCTACATCGATGATCTTTCTCTCCTTCAACTTGGCATAGACAGGAAGAAACTCGTGGCATATATGCCAAGCAAACGCCTTTACCTTATTTGGTAAGTTTGTCTTCCACAGTTCCCTCCACACATCCGTCCTTCCCATAACCTCCCTCTCCCTATTATATGGGTGTTACACTTGGCGTTGGGACCACAAAGAAGTTAGAAGCTTATACTTGCTCTTCACGCTATATTTCCCATTACTATTGAAGTGCCAGACCATCACGTCATTCCCCTTCACCCTACTAACAGGAATGGATTAAATGTCCTCTACTGTTTCTTATGAAAATAGATTTTATAATATTTGCACGTTCCGCTGCATAATTGTTTCATCAAGTAGCTCTCGGACCCACAACTCACGTGGGTTCACACTATTTTTTGGAAATGGGATAAAACTTCCAGTCCTGGGTAACCACGGGTCAGTCCAGATTCGGACATTCCCCCCCGTGCCTATCCTCTATCTTAAGCCCATTTGGCGTAGCTCGCTTTCGACACAAATAGTTCGCCAAATATATGAGGGAGCGCTGCCCACTTCTGCTCCCATGAACGATGATTTGTGGAAGTAATTTGCTTTGAGTATTTTGAACGCAAGGGATGAGGTATTATGCATCATCCTCCAACCCTATTTTGTTAATAACACCTTATCGAAACAGTCCATCTCCCTAAAACCCATGCCCCCTTTATCCTTACTTCTGCAAAGCTTCTTGCATGCCCACCAGTGGATCCCTCTCCCTTCTTTGTCTCGACTCCACCAGTATTTGCTCACCAGCATGTTCATTTCATGAGTTAGGGTTTTTGGCAAATAGAAGCATGACATTACATGTGAAGAAATGGACTGTAGAATTGCCTTGATGAAAACCTCTTTACCCCCATCAGATATCGGCCTTTGATTCCAGTTCTGTATGCTCTTTTGCAGTCTATCAGCAATCTCTCTGAACGCTTTTTGCTTCCTTTTCTCGATTATCATAGGTAGTCCTAAATATTTTTCAGGACTATGAGTAATCTGAATACCAAACAGGTCTTTCACAACCCCCTGCTGTCTTCTGCTAGTGTTACTGAAAAATAAACCTGACTTATCATAGTTTATCTTCTGGCCTGAACCTTCTTCGTATACCTTTAGAAAGTGTCTCACCATTTCTCCTTCAACTTGATTTGCTTTAATGAACAACAGGCTATCGTCCTCGAAAAAAAGGTGAGTGATCCGGGGTCCAGAAACACTAGCCCTTACACCTCCATCAGTCCATCTCGTTTGAACCTTAGCAAAAAGTGCTGATAATCCTTTTGAAAAAATAAAAAACATATAAAGTGACAAATTGTCCCTCTGCTGGAGACTCCTTTCTTGGTAAAAAAATCAGTTACATTCCCACTTATCACTACATTGTACTTAACAGATCTTACTCAATGCATCACCAATGATATCCATCTTGGGTTAAAACCTGATTTCCCCATCATTGCCTCAATGAAGCCCCATTCCACCCTGTCATACGCTTTGCTCACAATACAACAAATTTGGCAATTTGTGACACTTTTTCTAAGTGACGCATTGTATTTTATCACACAAACTATGTAAAAGGTGATGAAATATATAAAATATATTTTGTCACCCTTTTGTATTGTTTTGATATTTTATATGATGATATAAAAAATCATCACATAATAACATCACCAAAATCTTGCTGCCAAATTTATTTGGTGGGAAATATTTTTGTGGCATTTTTTTTTAAATTTTAGACAATGTTATAGTTTTGTCACAAAGTTAAAATTTTATCTGTGATAAATTTTTTCTGATAGATTTTAGGTGACGTTATTAATTTTTGTTATAAATTAAATACTTTAGTTAACTATTAATGATATTGCAATTTCGTCATATCAATGTATGGTATTATATGACGATAATATAAATGTCACAAACTTTTATTGCCAAATTTATTTAGTGAAAAATTTTTTTGTTATATTTTTTATTTTAGGTGACGTTTAAATTTTGTCACTGATTGAAAATTTTATCTATAATGAAATTTTTCTAATAGATTCTAGGTGACGTTATCAAATTTTGTCATAAATATAGTACTTTAGTTAACTATTAATGACATTACAATTTCGTCACTTTTATATTATGGTATTATATGACGATAACATAAATATTACAAACTTTTATTGTCAATTTTATGTAGTGAAAAATTTTTTAATGATTTTTTTTTTATTTTAAGTGACATTATAATTGTGTCACTAATTTAAAATTTTATCTATGATGAATTAATAGATTTTAGGTGATGTGATTAATATTTGTCATAAATTGAATACTTTAGTTAACTATTAATGACATTGCAATTTATTCACGTCAATGTATGATGTTATATGACAATAACATAAATGTCATAAACTTTTATCTCCAAATTTATTTGATAGGAAATTTTTATGATATTTTTTATTTTATGTGACGTTATAATTTTCTCACCAATTTAAATTTTTATTTGTGACAAATTTTTTCTGATAGATTTTAAGTGACATTATTAATTTTTGTCACAAATTGAATACTTTAGTTAACTATTAATGACATTATAATTTTGTCACATCAATATTTGATGTTATATAACGATAACATAAATATCACAAACTTTTATCGTCAATTTTATTTGGTGAAAAATTCTTTATGACATTTTTTATTTTAGGTGACGTTATAATTTAATCACCAATTTAAAATCTTATCTGTGATGAATTTTTTCTAATAATTTTTGTCACAAATTGAACACTTTAGTTAACTATTAATGACATTATCATCACATCAATGTTTGGTGTAATATAATGATAACATAAATGTGATAAACTTTTATCGCCAAATTAATTTGATGGGAAATTTTTTTGTAACATTTTGGATTCTAGGTGATGTTATTTTTCCGTCACTAATAAGTTTAAATTAATATATTATTTATAAGTGTATTTGACTTAGCTTATATATACCTAGTATTATACCTATTTAAGAATTTTTTTTTATTACGCATAATGTATTTATGTAATCATATATTAAAATTTTATAATTAAAGAAAATGAATTAAAATTACATATAATAAAAGTTTTAAAATACACATATTGTTTATAATTTTAAAAGAAATTTTAAAAATTTCTAATTTAAAATTTTTGTTAAAAGAAATTTTTTAAATTAAAAAATTATTTTTAAATATATATGTATTAAAAATTTTTCAAAATATTTTTGGAGGCACTACCTTTAAGAATGGATGATACTCTACTCATACATATTTTACCCATTAATATCCCTACTTAGACATTGAAGCTATTGAGATTAAATTTTGTCAATAGACAAGTTCATAATTTTATAATGTATAATTTATTTAGGTAGCATTAACATAAAAAATTTATCACAACTAGAATTTTTAAACTTCAACACACCAATGTATATAAGATGATAATCAGCTATTTTATTAGAATTCTTATTGCCACTAGCAAGGTTGTAATAATGGGATTATAGGTTGAATCGATGTAGATTTAATCTATAGATTAATTACCAAGCTAATGTCTTTTTATTATCTTTTGCTTTGAAAATGCGTAATTTTATATAGTCAAATGTGGTCATAATTTGATTACCTTGACTTTTTGTTTGACTAAAAAGAAATCAAATATTTCTTCAAAATCAAATATGACAAATTGTAACTTTTATATAAAAAGTTTTAAGAAATCAAATATTTCCTTGGCATATGACTATTGAACCACAAATTGTGACTTTTATATAAAAAATAATTTTAATTCAAGTTTCCCTTAAA